AGATATAAACAGCGAACCTTCTGTCTGGTGGTTCTGGTTCGGGGACACAGAAGTTTCTCCACCAGTTTCTCCTGCAGCATCATGGTGTCCATCCTGAACCAGACGTCTCAGAAATGTGTGCCGTCCCTCTTTATACCCGCGTGACCCTCAGTTTATCACTCTCTGCCTCTATAAACCCTCTCTGGTTTCCTTTTCCCTGTTTTCTGTTTGTCTCTGGCCCACGGCACATCCCAGCGCGCCGTGTTCAGACAGGCAGGCAGAAGAATCCCCACATGACTGAATGAAAGACTGACAAAAGAAGGTACTGACTGAGAGAGAGAGTGAGAAAAACGAAAAGACGTAAAGAAAAAAAAAGCATGGAAGCAATTTTAGACAGGAAGGGGGGCAACTGAAAACGGGAATAAAAACACTCATTCATTTAGTCCTTCATTCCTCCCCCACTTTTTTTTCCACAGATGGCTCTGAGGTGCAGGGATTTGTGTGTGTGTGTGTGTGTGTTTTAGGGAGCAAGACACATTTAGTAAGACGGCAGCCACACCCTTCCCAACAGACCTTGTCAGACTGGCACAGCTTTTCTACACACTACAGCACAGCAGCCTGACCTTTACTAGAGCGTTATTTTCAGATATATGATGATGCATGGGGTCAGTAAGATTTTTTTAATGAAATTAATAATTTTATTTAGCAAGAACGAATTAATTTGTTCAAAAGTGACAGTGAAACATTTAGTATGTTACAAAGCTACTGTTGTTTTGAACTTTCTATTCATCAAAAAAAATCCTTAAAAAATGTATCACAGTTTCGACAAAATATGAAGCAGTTTTCAACATTGATAATAATCAGAAATGTTTCTTGAGCAGCAAATCAGCATATTAGAATGATTTCTGGAAGACAATGTGACATTGAAGACTGGAGTAATGATGCTGAATCATTTTCAAATAAATGCAGCCTTTAAAGGCAGAACAGACTCTCTCTCTCTCTCTCTCTCTCTCTCTCTCTATATATATATATATAATTTCACCAGGGGGCGCTAGTGTTATGAAACAAACACTCAAGGATTGTCTCTTCATGCAAAGGAGCAGTTAAATCATTTACATATACACACAATTTCATAACGTAATTGTTTCATCCTGACACCTGATATCACAGCTAATTGTTTTTATGATATTTTTAATTCGGCGACTCTCTCTTATATAACATGCAAATGGAATCAATTGACTTTAGATAATAGGCCTGTAATGAACCACAAGAGTTAATGAATGTAAGCTTAAATGCATTAAAAGCCTCATTACTGAATGTGTCATAAAATTCCCGCCTAATGTGTAATATTGCATGCATGTGCTCATATCGAAGCCTGTCAGACTCTGTGAATATATGTGTGACTGCACATCTTCATTGAGTTAAAGGTTTGGGGTTCGTTCAGATCACTAACCCTTATATGAGCAACGTACTAGTGACGTCTGAGCAAACAACACTAATAAACATCTTCATATTAAGCATGATTCACCCCATTATGGTGTTGGTGGGGGTCTGGTCATGCATATAGATGATGAGTGTGCTGGTGGGGGGTGGGGGGTCCAGAGGGGGTCTGTTGAATAGAGCAGAACAGATGTCCTTCAGTGATACAATAGCCTTGGTTGCCCCTTCCTAACACAGAACAGAACAACACCCTCTCACCGTCCAGCTGCCATCCCTGAGTGCCACCTGGAGCGACCCTCACCAGGCCCATATCTGTATTGTTTTTAATCTGTTTGAGTTGTTTTAGGAACTCTAATACGATCAGAGTATCAAAGAAACACGTCTTCAAACATATCAACAGACATGGAGCAAACAGCTTTCATTTCACATAGTTTGATCACAAACTCAAAACACCTTAGCAACTGCACGACAATGCTCTGGCAACCATCGAAAACACCCTAGTAACCCCACAGCAATGCACCTTATATCACCTTAGCAACTGCATAGCAACACCCTGGAAACCAAACAGAACTTCCAACAACATAGCAGCACACAGACAGGCATTCAGAATAATTTAGGAAAAGCATAGCAACACCCTGGCAACCACTCAGAATACCCTAGAAACCACAGAAAAGCATTCAGAACACTTTAGCAACCGTTTAGCAACAACCTGGCAACCATCCAGAACTTCCAACAACATAGCAGCACACAGACAGGCATTCAGAATAATTTAGGAAAAGCATAGCAACACCCTGGCAACCACTCAGAATACCCTAGAAACCACAGAAAAGCATTCAGAACACTTTAGCAACCGTTTAGCAACAACCTGGCAACCACCCATAACACCCTAGAAACCACATATCAACAATGCAAAGAAAGTCATTCAGAATATCTTAGCAACTGCATAGCACCACCCTGGCAACCACCCAGTATACCCTAGAAACCACAGAAAGGCATTCAGAACACTTTAGCAACTGCTTAGCAACACCCTGGCAACCAAACAGAACACCCAACAACATAGAAACACACAGACAGGCATTCAGAATACTTTAGGAATACCATAGCAACACCCTGGCAACCACCCAGTATACCCTAGAAACCACAGAAAGGCATTCAGAACACTTTAGCAACTGCTTAGCAACACCCTGGCAACCAAACAGAACACCCATTCAGAACACATTCAGAACACTTTAGCAACCGTTTAGCAACAACCTGGCAACCATCCAGAACACCCTAGAGACCACATATCAACAATGCAAAGAAAGTCATTCAGAATATCTTAGCAACTGCATAGCAACACCCTGGCAACCACCCGGTATACCCTAGAAACCACAGAAAGGCATTCAGAACACTTTAGCAACTGCTTAGCAACACCCTGGCAACCAAACAGAACACCCAACAACATAGCAACACACAGACAGGCATTCAGAATACTTTAGAGATAGCATAGCAACACCCTGGCAACCACCCACAATACCCTAGAAACCACAGAAAGGCATTCAGAATAGCTTAGCAACTGCATAGCAACTCCCTGGCAACCACCCAGAACACCCAAGCAATCACATAGCAACACACTAAGAAGAACTGCTACTGTAACTAACAGTAAAGTTCACTGCAACTGCATAGCAATGCACACAAAGCCATTGAGAATACATTATCAACTACATAGCATCACCCTGGCAACAACCAAGAACACCCTAGCAACCAAACTGCAAAGCAAAAAAAAAAAAGTCATTTATTCAGAATATCTTATTACTGCATAGCAACACCCTGGTTGTGTACATGAATATTTTTTATTGTATCTTTACAAATGTATTTACTTAACCAGAACGGTACATTGAGATAATACAATCTCTTCTTCCAGCAAGTCTTGGTCAGATGGTGCAGATATCCTGCTCATCTCAGACAGTGATTTCCTGCCTGCTATTCAGTGAGGTGGGACGAGTGATGTCATCCATTAATGTCACATGTGCGTCTCACATTACACCGAGTGAGTGACCATGGGTGTGGAACACCCTGATGATGTCATGATGATATGACGGGTGGAGAGATGTCTGAGGATGAGCAGTGAATGAATGAGCTCACTAAACATCCTCAGGCCTCTATGGCAGCTGTGCTGGGTCAAGCACAAACAGACCTGATAGTGCCGATAGAACGGTAGAACGGTGTTCCCAGAGGGCGACTGCTTTCCTCTCACTTTCAGACCATGTCAGCTTTACTGGTTCAGCGGTTTGTTAGTAACACTGCGGGCATGTGTTTGAATGGTTCACTGCACCTGCACTGCAGCTTGTATCCTTACAGTACACTTATTACAGGGACGGTTCCTCTGGAGTCGCATGAGGTTAAGTGTTTAGCTCAGGGGCACAATGGTGATGGATCGTCCCTTTTGAGGTTTAAACCAACAACCTTTCACAGTACTTCAGGGATAATATTTAAGGAACACTGTACTGCATATATGCTACTAGTCTCTTCTGCTCATCAAGGTTGCATTTATTTAGTACAGTAAAAACAGTAAAATAGTGAAATATTATTACAATTTAAAATAAGTGTTTTTATTTGAATATAATTTAAGTTGTAATTGATTCCTGTGATGCAAAGCTGAATTTTCAGCACCATTACTCCAGTCTTCAATGTCACATGATCCTCCAGAAATCATTCTGATATGCTGATTTGCTGTTCAAGAAACATTTATGATGTTGAAAACCATTGTGCTGCTTCATATTTTTGTGGAAACCGTGATGCATGATGAAGTTCAAAAGAACAGCATTTATTTTAAATAGAAATCTTTT